CTTCTGAATCGTTTCTTAGACGGGGATGTCTGTCTAGGGGACCCTGCAGGAGGTCGTTAGGTCACACAGCAACAAGTTTGGCGAGGTTTGCTTAACAGAAAGGTCCCGGTGAGGCATCGGGAGGACGAAAGTTTTGACCTACTGGGCCTTTCTTGTCTTAAGGCATCTTGCGGAGTAGCGGAGTAGCGACAAGTGCGATTTACGTGGCCTGGCCAGCGGAGTATTTTATACCCCGTTTTAAAATTATACTACTTTAATGTTCCGGAGGAGTAGCCGGTTGGTCCTGCTTGTTAGGATTCTATGGGGGCATGGGGGCCTGTGTTCGACGAAACAAGGAGTAGGTCAAACTTTCGTCCCACCGCAGCGTCAATTTTGGGTGCCAGAGTCCAGCCCAAGCAACCCCAGGGTGAAAGTGTTCGGTTTTGCTTTCACCAGGACTGCAAAGGAGGGGACTCTTGCCTCGAAAATGGAGGCTGCGCCGGGCCGATAGTTCGACCCACTAGCCTCAACATTCTTTACAACACATGGGCCTCCACCCTCTTCCCCATAGACTCCTAACACAAGGGAGCCTTGGGGCCTCCGCCGGAACTAAAAAGTATCAAAATTTTAAAACGGCGTAGTAATTACTCCGCTGGCCTGCGTAGGGTAAACGGCACTTTGAGGTACTCCGCTACTCCGCAAGAGCTTGCATGTAAGATGATGCACAAGTGGGTCGAAACTTTCGGCCCATGCCTTCTGAATCGTTTTTTGGACGGGGATGTCTGTCTAGGGGACCTGAAGGAGGTCATTAGGTCACACAGCAACAAGCAACAAGTTTGGCGAGGTTTGCTGAACAGAAAGGTCCCGGTGAGGCATCGGGAGGACAAAAGTTTTGACCTACTGGATCTGTCTTGTCTTAAGACGTCTTGCGGAGTAGCGGAGTACCGAGAAGTGCGATTTACGTGGCCTGGCCAGCGGAGTATTTTATACCCCGTTTTAAAATTATGCTACTTTAATGTTCCGGAGGAGTAGCCAGTGATTCGGTTTTTTTTTGCGTCACAGGACTGCAAAAATGGAGGGGACAGTCTTGCTCGAAAATGGAGCGGCCCTTCCTGAATGTTTGTGGACCGGGGATGTCTGTCTAGGGGACCCTGCAGGAGGTCAGTAGGTCACAAAGCAACAAGTTTGGCGAGGTTTGCTGAACAGAAAGGTCCCGGTGAGGCATCGGGAGGAACAAAGTTTGACCTACTGGATCTGTTCTTGTCTTAAGACCTTGCGGAGTTAGGGCAGTACGAGCACACAGTGCGATTACGTGGCCTGGACCACGGATTATTTTATACCCCGTTTTAAAATTATACTACTTTAATGTTCCGGAGGAGTAACCGGTGGGTCCTGTGTGCTAGGAGTCTACGGGGGAATGGGGGCCTGTCTTGGACGAAGGAAGGAATAGGTCAAACTTTCGTCCTACCGCAGCGTCAATTTTGGGTGCCAGAGTCCAGCCCAAGCAAACCGAGGGTGAAAGTGTTCGGCTTTGCTTTCACCAAGACTGCAAAGGAGGGGACTCTTGCCTCGAAAATGGAGGCTGCGCCGGGCCGATAGTTCGACCCACTAGCTTCAACATGCTTTACAACACATGGGCCTCCACCCTCTTCCCCATAGACTCCTGACACAAGTGAGCCTTGGGGCCTCCGCCGGAATTAAAAAGTATTATATTTTTAAAACGGCGTAGTAATTACTCCGCTGGCCTGCGTAGGGTGAACGGCACTTTGAGGTACTCCGCTACTCCGCAAGAGCTTGTTAAGATGATGCACAAGTGTGTCGAAACTTTCGGCCCGGCGATGCCTTCTGAATCGTTTCTTAGACGGGGATGTCTGTCTAGAGGACCCTGCAGGAGGTCGTTAGGTCACACAGCAACAAGTTTGGCGAGGTTTGCTGAACAGAAAGGTCACGGTGAGGCATCGGGAGGACGAAAGTTTTGACCTACTGGATATGTCTTGTTTTAAGACGTTCTTGGGAGGAGCGGAGTACCGAGACGTGCGATTTAACGCTGGCCTGGCCAGCGGAGTATTGTATACCCCGTTTTAAAATTTTTAGAATACTTTAATGTTTCCGCGAGGAGTTAGCCGTGTTCGGTTGTTGCTTTCACCAAGGACTGCAAAGGAGGGGACTCTTGGCCTCGAAAATGGAGGCTGCCTTTGAATCGTTTTTGGACGGGGATGTCTGTCTAGGGGACCTGAAGGAGGTCATTAGGTCACACAGCAACAAGCAACAAGTTTGGCGAGGTTTGCTGAACAGAAAGGTCCCGGTGAGGCATCGGGAGGACAAAAGTTTTGACCTACTGGATCTGTCTTGTCTTAAGACGTCTTGCGGAGTAGCGGAGTACCGAGAAGTGCGATTTACGTGGCCTGGCCAGCGGAGTATTTTATACTCCGTTTTAAAATTATACTACTTTAATGTTCCGGAGGAGTAGCCGCTTGGTCCTGCTTGTTAGGATTCTATGGGGGAATGGGGGCCTGTGTTCGACGAAACAAGGAGTAGGTCAAACTTTCGTCCCACCGCAGCGTCAATTTTGGGTGCCAGAGTCCAGCCCAAGCAACCCCAGGGTGAAAGTGTTCGGTTTTGCTTTCACCAGGACTGCAAAGGAGGGGACTCTTGCCTCGAAAATGGAGGCTGCGCCGGGCCGATAGTTCGACCCACTAGCCTCAACATTCTTTACAACACATGGGCCTCCACCCTCTTCCCCATAGACTCCTAACACAAGGGAGCCTTGGGGCCTCCGCCGGAACTAAAAAGTATTAAAATTTTAAAACGGCGTAGTAATTACGCCGCTGGCCTGCGTAGGGTAAACGGCACTTTGAGGTACTCCGCTACTCCGCAAGAGCTTGCATGTAAGATGATGCACAAGTGGGCCGAAACTTTCGGCCCGGCGATGCCTTCTGAATCGTTTTTTGGACGGGGATGTCTGTCTAGGGGACCTGAAGGAGGTCATTAGGTCACACAGCAACAAGCAACAAGTTTGGCGAGGTTTGCTGAACAGAAAGGTCCCGGTGAGGCATCGGGAGGACAAAAGTTTTGACCTACTGGATCTGTCTTGTCTTAAGACGTCTTGCGGAGTAGCGGAGTACCGAGAAGTGCGATTTACGTGGCCTGGCCAGCGGAGTATTTTATACCCCGTTTTAAAATTATACTACTTTAATGTTCCGGAGGAGTAGCCCGTGTTCGGTTTTGCTTTCACCAGGACTGCAAAGGAGGGGACTCTTGCCTCGAAAATGGAGGCTGCCTTCTGAATCGTTTTTTGGACGGGGATGTCTGTCTAGGGGACCTGAAGGAGGTCATTAGGTCACACAGCAACAAGCAACAAGTTTGGCGAGGTTTGCTGAACAGAAAGGTCCCGGTGAGGCATCGGGAGGACAAAAGTTTTGACCTACTGGATCTGTCTTGTCTTAAGACGTCTTGCGGAGTAGCGGAGTACCGAGAAGTGCGATTTACGTGGCCTGGCCAGCGGAGTATTTTATACCCCGTTTTAAAATTATACTACTTTAATGTTCCGGAGGAGTAGCCGCTTGGTCCTGCTTGTTAGGATTCTATGGGGGAATGGGGGCCTGTGTTCGACGAAACAAGGAGTAGGTCAAACTTTCGTCCCACCGCAGCGTCAATTTTGGGTGCCAGAGTCCAGCCCAAGCAACCCCAGGGTGAAAGTGTTCGGTTTTGCTTTCACCAGGACTGCAAAGGAGGGGACTCTTGCCTCGAAAATGGAGGCTGCGCCGGGCCGATAGTTCGACCCACTAGCCTCAACATTCTTTACAACACATGGGCCTCCACCCTCTTCCCCATAGACTCCTAACACAAGGGAGCCTTGGGGCCTCCGCCGGAACTAAAAAGTATTAAAATTTTAAAACGGCGTAGTAATTACTCCGCTGGCCTGCGTAGGGTAAACGGCACTTTGAGGTACTCCGCTACTCCGCAAGAGCTTGCATGTAAGATGATGCACAAGTGGGTCGAAACTTTCGGCCCGGCGATGTAATACCTTCAAAAGAATATCTGCCACCATCACATCGCCATACAACCCTCATAATTCAGCACGCGGCAGGGCATAGTGCGACACTCCCGATCCGCGCACATGGTCAAGGGGCGGGCAAGGTGCGGGCCGGGAACGGGCCGGGGCGGGCAGGGCAGGTGGGCGGTGCAGCAGCAGGGAGGAAGAGGCGGGGGGGGATACCATTGCGGGGGGGGGGGGGGGGGGGGGGTGGCGGCCCGGGACCCGAGAGCATAGATCAGATACAGAACTGACTCTTAAGTTACCGAATGCCGCCAGCCTCCGTCGCCTCAAGTTTGCTGCAGCACATCACTTTTCCGTTCTTGCGATACTGCTGGCCGGGATTCCTCAGTCTGTGGCTGTCATATGATGGCTGTCAGCTACAAGGCTGCGGAGGAGGCATCAAAAGTGCTTCGGCACGTCACGAAAAAATAGGGAACAGGGGCACTCCCAGCACGACCTTCAATCGCCGTCGGCTGCCGGCTTGCTGCCAAGCCTCACTGCCGGCGGGCTGCACCACGCCTTTGCCTGCAGCTCGCACTTGTACCCCGGCTTGATCGCGAAGTCGGGTTCTGAGTGCGAACAGCAGAAGACCATCGAAAGTGTCCGCTTTGCACAAGTGCAAGTGCTCGCAAGCAATGTTCTAAGTCGGAAACCCTCAGGCTCCACAGCTGCCTCAGTGGTCGTCTCCTCTTTCGGCGGTGCCTGTCAGGGAGATCTCCGTGCATGACATGAACTCAGTACACACGGGGGGGCATGAGGCATCAAAGAGCTCCGGCAAACATGTCTCTCAACACGGTGCGACATAACTGAAAGCGATCCTCAGTGGTAGTCTCCTCTTTTGGCGTCACCTGTCAGGGAGATCCCTGTGCATCACATGAAATCAGTACAAGGGAGCATGAGGCATCAAAGAGCTGCGGCCAAAATTGTGAGACGTCTCTCAACAGGGCCCCAGCTGCAGTTTCTCAGGTCCATATGTGACATCATATTATATGTCGCGCTGAGTTTGCTCGACTGAGAACCCTGAACAGCACCTGCAACCAAATGCTTCGCCAAGCCTGGCATAGATCAGATACAGAACTGACTCTTAAATTACCGAATGCCGCCAGCCTCCGTCGCCTCAAGTTTGCTGCAGCACATCACCTTCCCATTCTTGCGATACTGCTGGCCGGGATTCCTCAGTCTGTGGCTGTCATATGACGGCTGTCAGCTACAAAGCTCCGGAGGAGGCATCAAAAGTGCTTCGGCACATCACGAAAGAATAGGGCATAGGGCACAGGGAATAGGGGCACTCCCAGCACGACCTTCAATCACCGTCGGTTGCCGGCTTGCTGCCAAGCCTCACTGCCGGCGGGGTGCACCACGCCTTTGCCTGCCGCTCGCACTTGTAGCCCGGCTTGATCGCGAAGTCGGGTTCTGAGTGCGAACAGCAGAAGACTATCGAAAGTGTTTCTGCACAAGTACATCTGCTCGAAGACAATGTTCTAAGTCGCAGACCCTTAGGCTCCACAACTGCCTCAGTGGTAGTCTCCTCTTTTGGCCTCACCTGTCAGGGAGATCCCTGTGCATTACATGAAATCAGTGCAAAGGAGCATGAGGCATCAAAGAGCTGCGGCCAGAATTGTCACATGTCTCTCAACACGGCAGGACATACCTGAAAGTGAGTATACAGAGGCAACATGTCACCCTCTCTGAGCACAGGCCTCCGTGGAATCTTCCTGGGATTCTCGCTCCATTGGGCTCTCCGCCGTCACCGCCTGACAACAAACACAGGGCCCCAGCTGCAGTTTCTCAGGTCCATATGTGACATCATAATATATGTTGCGCTGAGTTTGCTCGACTGAGAACCCTGAACAGCACCTGCAACCAAATGCTTCGCCAAGCCTGGCATAGATCAGATACAGAACTGACTCTTAAATTACCGAATGCCGCCAGCCTCCGTCGCCTCAAGTTTGCTGCAGCACATCACCTTCCCATTCTTGCGATACTGCTGGCCGGGATTCCTCAGTCTGTGGCTGTCATATGACGGCTGTCAGCTACAAAGCTCCGGAGGAGGCATCAAAAGTGCTTCGGCACATCACGAAAGAATAGGGCATAGGGCACAGGGAATAGGGGCACTCCCAGCACGACCTTCAATCACCGTCGGTTGCCGGCTTGCTGCCAAGCCTCACTGCCGGCGGGGTGCACCACGCCTTTGCCTGCCGCTCGCACTTGTAGCCCGGCTTGATCGCGAAGTCGGGTTCTGAGTGCGAACAGCAGAAGACTATCGAAAGTGTTTCTGCACAAGTACATCTGCTCGAAGACAATGTTCTAAGTCGCAGACCCTTAGGCTCCACAACTGCCTCAGTGGTAGTCTCCTCTTTTGGCCTCACCTGTCAGGGAGATCCCTGTGCATTACATGAAATCAGTGCAAAGGAGCATGAGGCATCAAAGAGCTGCGGCCAGAATTGTCACATGTCTCTCAACACGGCAGGACATACCTGAAAGTGAGTATACAGAGGCAACATGTCACCCTCTCTGAGCACAGGCCTCCGTGGAATCTTCCTGGGATTCTCGCTCCATTGGGCTCTCCGCCGTCACCGCCTGACAACAAACACAGGGCCCCAGCTGCAGTTTCTCAGGTCCATATGTGACATCATAATATATGTTGCGCTGAGTTTGCTCGACTGAGAACCCTGAACAGCACCTGCAACCAAATGCTTCGCCAAGCCTGGCATAGATCAGATACAGAACTGACTCTTAAATTACCGAATGCCGCCAGCCTCCGTCGCCTCAAGTTTGCTGCAGCACATCACTTTTCCGTTCTTGCGATACTGCTGGCCGGGATTCCTCAGTCTGTGGCCGTCATATGACGGCTGTCAGCAACCAGGCTCCGGAGGCGGCATCAAAAGTGATTCGGCACGTCACGAAAGAATCGGGAATAGGGGCACTCCCAGCATGATCTTCAATCGCCGTCGGTTGCCGGCTTGCTGCCAAGCCTCACTGCCGGCGGGGTGCACCACGCCTTTGCCTGCCGCTCGCACTTGTAGCCCGGCTTGATCGCGAAGTCGGGTTCTGAGTGCACAGAGCAGAAAACTAGCGAAACTGTCTGCTTTGCACAAGTGCACGTGCTCGAAAGCAGTGGTCTAAGTCGCAGACCCTCAGGCTCCACAGCTGCCTCAGTGGTAGTCTCCTCTTTTGGCGGTGCCTGTCAGCGAGATCTCCGTGCATCATGAACTCAGTACACGGTCCTGCAATTCAGGTTCCTTGACATTTACGGGACTCTCCGTCGTCTGCGCACCCAGTTGCACTTTCGGCCCATATGTGCTGCACTTATACGTTTACAAGATCCATGAGAATTCTTAAGGCCTGTGCAACCAACAATTCTTCCACAAGCCGGACCTATCAGAACACGCCAGCCTCCGTCGCCTCAATTTTGCTGCAGCACATCACTTTCCCTTTCTTGCGATACTGCTGGCCGGGATTCCTCAGATTGCGGCTGTCCTACGACGGCATCACCTACCAGGCTCGGGAGGAGGCATCAAAGTGCTTCGGCACGTCACGAAAAAATCGGGAACAGGGGCACTCCCAGGACGACCTTCAATCGCCGTCGGTTGCCGGCTTGCTGCCAAGCCTCACTGCCGGAGGAGCGCACCACGCCTTTGCCTGCAGCTCGCACTTGTACCCCGGCTTGATCGCGAAGTCGGGTTCTGAGTGCACAGAGCAGAAAACTAGCGAAACTGTCTGCTTTGCACAAGTGCACGTGCTCGAAAGCAATGGTCTAAGTAAGTCGCAGACCCTGGAGCCGAGATGATTCTCGTCTGGCAGCCGTCACCGTCCTAAAAACGACAGTCTAATATCCTAGTCATAATGAGAACATTTACAAGTAACTAATAATGATAGTGTTAGCGTTCATGATAAGCCACGGACACTGAAAGCATGAAAGTACGTCTGGATGCAGTGCATTGGCCCTGTCCTGACCACGCAAAAGCTGCAGAGGACGGAAAGAAGCATTGCCATGAAAATCTACGGCCTCCGAAAGTCTAAGGGGTTCAGACAACGACTCGGCTTGAGATGGAAAACACTCTTGCGAGCACCGGATAGGCACGGGAAAGAGACTACGATAGGGGCCTTCAATATTAGAATAGGGTTTGGGGCCGCAGTGCTTTATAAATATAAGAAAGAACATCCAACATAGTACTGGTAATTATTAACGCCCGCCTATGTTATACCCGTAGACTCCCTCCATGATGAAAGCAATCGCCCCTGGGCAAAGATCTCTCTGATCTGATCTCTGATATCAGATATCAGAGCCACTAAACCGAAGTATTTTAGGGGGCCTTAGTCACTATTTTAGGGGGCCTTAGTCACTAGAGTAGGGAACATTGTAGGACAAATTATTCCGACCCCTACGTTATGTCACTACCTCCCCGTCAGGCCAAGACTACCACGTGTCAAACGTTCGACCAATTTGTGGGCAAGCATTGCAAACTCATTTAGAATTCAGGTCTGGTTTACGCCGTACACTTAACTTGCCAGCTCGCAATGCTGGAGCTCAGACCACTGTGGAGATGTTGTTGCATTCTACGATTACTGAGGCATGCCTGCTGCGCACAGACCCGCCAGTGTACATGTGGCCTGAAGCTGTTGGTTGCGATGGTATTGGTGGTCTTGCTCCTTGCATGCGCAGGGGCAGATACACTAAAGAAGTTATACTGTCGGGTTTATAGTTTATAAGGGGCTAGGCGGTCGGGGATTTGGAATCCCAAACAAAGACTTCACAAAGATGGTGCAAGCACGGGCCACCTTTGCCATTGCGGCGGCTACAGTGATAGCGGTCATGAGACTAAGCCTAGACTTCCGTTTCTCATCATCAAAAGTCTCGGCTACAGTTAACTACTTGTTGCATTACGAACAATAGAATGAGCTTTCCGGTCGTTGTGGTCGGGGTCAGAGTCGTCACGGCCAAAACAACCTGCTACCGTGCCGCAGAACCCCTAAATCCTAAACTTTAATACCCTAAACCTGTAGGCCCAAAATCCGGAACACTTAAACCCTCAACCCCTAAACTTGGATTCCAATAAGTGTGCCCAAGCACTGCCGCACCCTTGCGGAGCCTACATCAGATGTGGACAGTAACTTTGATAGAGTTCGGGGTTCGGGTTCCGGGTTTATATGGGGTTTAGGATTTTACCGGCCCGAGCCCCTTTCGCAATTGGGGACTTCTTAGCATTGCGCGTGCTCATACGGGGTTACATGCTAAATCCGACTGAGCCTGAACTTCAAAGCTGCGAACCCTCAAGCCTCAAAACACGACAGCCCGCCCCGCCCCCCCCAGCAGCAGACCTATAGATCCTAGAACCTCCCAACAACCTCTACTTACCCTTCCTCAAAATTTCTGAACCCAACATCCGACCCTGCGACAGCCTTCTGAAACCTTGGTCGCCCTAAAGCCTACCCAAAGGCCCCAAAGTAGTTCCTTTTTGGGGTTCATATGTAGAATCCTATAAGCTAATCCCAAAAAAGAACTTCTGGGTAAACCCTACACCCTAAAACCCTAAACCCTAAAACCAGAGCCTGCACCCTAAAACCCTAAACCCGCGCTAAAGCCTACTCTAAACCCCCCGGGGGCAGTCATTGAACTTGTAGTTCTGGAGGTATCTCAGCTGCTGCTCTGCATCCTCCGACGCACCACTTCAGACTCCGGGGCTTAGAGTTTCGATTGGGCTCTCTGGGTTTAGGGGTTAAGGATATAAGGATCTATCAGATCAGGTTCCTATAAGGGATCTATACGGGCTTTAGGGTTTAGGGTTTTGGGGGTTTTGAAGTAGAGTTATAAGTACTCTAAATGGAGTTACCCCAATTATAGCCCTACTTATAACCGACTTACTAAATCCCTTGGGCCTCCAAGTAGGGTTCAGGATCTCCGGGGTGTAGAGGATGGGGGTTCGGGGGCGTAGTATCAGGGCCTTCATCCTTAGAATAGGGTTTCGGGGTATGTGAAGGTATAGGAAGGATCCCAAAAGAAACATATGGGAGTTTCCGAAAGTAGGGGACCCTAATATAGTACCCCAAATACTAGGATCCTTATTTTAAGGACACCAAAATATGGCACCCCTAATTTTCGAAAACTCCAACTCTGAACCCTAAACCATTTATAGAACCCTTATATAGTACCCTTATAGTAACCCTTCAAAGGAACCCTACGGTATCCCCCCCTAAATTATCGTAGGATCCCAAATATGTGTATATATATACACACATACATAATGAATTAAGGAATATCCCGTAATCAAGGGTTGTTGGAGTCTCTGGGTTAGGGCGGCTAGGGGCTTACCGCAGAATGCAGAAATCTGAGGAGGCTTGAAGGTTGGCCCAGGCTGAAGTTGAACAAGTTCCCTGGGCTTTCGGAGGTATTGAATGGGGCTTTCGGGTTCAGGGTTTCAGGGTTCAGGGTTTAGGGTTTTAGAGGGCTCCAATAGAAGCGTCTCATGGGGTTTTGCTTTGCGTTCAGAAGATGCAGGCCCGTCGGATGATCCTTTGACCATCAGGACTGGGCAAGACTCCGTTGGTGCAAATAGAGTGAGAAAGTTACAGTAACTTATCGGCGTGCAGTCAGTCACAACTTTAGCCTGTAGTTGTGACTAGCTCAGCAGCAGGAAACCATCGCCGTGATCATCTTCAAGGCTACAACCATCGCCTCTACCTTCTTTAGCTACAAACAATACAAAACGAGCACCTTCCTCACCACAGCGCTATCATTATCAATATAAGCATCATCACCAGCACCATCTGCATGTGTGTCGTAAGCCTGAAGCTGTTTGACCCTTGACAAAACTGGCTTTCGACGGACCCCAAAACCATTCTAATTATTATTAAGGGCCCTATATTAATATTAAGGTACCCTCATTGAACCCTTAAGGGAGGGAGGGCTAGCTCCAAAACACGGTTGGGAGGTCCATCTCGTCGATGCCAGGCGGTTGGCCAAGGCAGGTGAAGGCCACTGACGTGAAGAGCTTCTGCAACTGGCAGGCAGGAGAAGGCAACTGCAGGAATGGAGCAGCTCAGAGGCATTAACATTAAAATGAGAGAAATAATTTTAGTAATAATGCTGAATTCGGACTCCCGCACAAAATGCACTGCATTTGACATTGCGAGCGCAACTCAATGCATACTTTTCTTGCGCAGCAAGCAGCAAAATCTGTGACTTGGAAATAAGCTTTGCAGCACACGTGCTGAACGTCATTAGCTATGGCGACTTCGCCAAGCTTGGCGAATGCCAGTAACATGCACTTTGGGATAGCTTCGCACGAAGCTGCCTCCCCGTGCGTCTCTACAAAAAAAGCGTCAGTCCAGCATCCAGTGCTGGATATGACATGCGTGAAGAGGCGTCTTTGTCTTATGAGCCCTGGTAAGACAACGCGAAGTCCAGGGAATCTTCGAAACTCAGCAGCTGAATGGAGAGATCTGACTGTCCTTGGTGGGATATCTCGGTTCGAGACAGTCCAGGCGGAAATCTGCGGTACATGCCTATTAACTACCAATCAATAATGCGGTAATACTAGTTATGACAGCAATAAGAAAAATTATAGTAACAATTAAACACAACTCGTAATAATGGTACCATTAATGAACTAATGGTAATAACCGTAATAATAGCAATAATAGCTGTGGCATCAGTGGCTGTTGGCCGTGTTGATGAAGGCACTCACAGAAGCAGTAGGAACGGAACCGTACCAATGACAACTGCTCCACGAGAACATTACGATTCGACATTCCACATGTCTAGATCTACCGCGCAATGCCCAAAAAAGATGTTGAATTTGCGTATGCCTGTCTCAGCTAAGTGTGGGGTCGGGCTCTAGCTTGTTCGTGATCGTGCACGCTGACAGCCCCTTGCAACAACTCAACAAGCAAGGCTACGAGACTGGGATCTGGGGTCTGGTTGAAGCTCGGATTCCAAGTCTCAAGTTTAGCTATTGGTAGGTACCACTAGGGTCACTGATGCTCTGGTCATGAGAAAGACTACTGCCATTTTGCTGCTTGTCACAACTCGTGCCATACTCCGTATCTTTAACCCTGCAATCCCTACCATCTTCATCGCCCCTCATCTCGCCAATCTATCTATTACAGGATTCCCGGATCCCTACCTTCATCACTACGTGTGTGTCCGATGGCTTACTCTTCACATTATTGGTCTGATGACCACACAACTTCACGACTTCAAATCTATCTGCATTGTGCTTTGTCACGGATACAGCCGTCCCCTTTGTACGGCTATTAAGCCGGATTAAAAGGTCTGAATACTGCTGCTGGTGATTTAGTTAATGAACATCGAACTGACCTCAGCGGGCCTCAATATGACTGCAACCCTGCGACGCCAGATCTGAAAGCCCCACTCGTCTGTACCCCTCATCTCAGGGCTCAGGGTTTCGGCTTTGCGCCTTGCACCAAACCCTACAGACGCCGCACCCGTCAACCGGCTTTCACATCACCACCGGACGCAGGTAACAGCCTAGTTGGCCAAAGTGGCGGCCCCTGCGCAAACGGTGAACCTCTCGCTCCTGAACCTGGTATTGAGACCGGATGGCACGTGAATTTCACATTAGAGCACCAGGACCAGGATCCACTATAATATGGGGGCCTTAATAATTAGAATAGGGTTTTGGGGCCCATTATACTAAACTAGAAATCTAATGAGGAACCCCCCAAAATAGTATTGGGAATTATTTAGGGCCCTTTTTTATGCAAGTCTAATTTGGCTGAGGTGTTTGATGTTGAAGATGCAGGGTCTAGGCAGACTGTTGATCAAACACCGTCATCAGGTTCATCATGAGCTCCATCAACCCTATACCCTAAACCGGTAACCATCGTCATCAGCATCATCATCGTCATCAGCAGCACTATTGTCAACATGTTGTTATTCTTGTTCTTCTTCCCATCATTACTACTGTTGTTGGTACTTATTGTTAACATTGTTGTTATTAGTACCATTCTTGCTAACACTGTTGTGAATATTG